TCTGGCACTCATAGCCTTCTGACCTGGGACTATTGCATCATTTCTCTCAGTCTTGGTCTTGTCATTTGCAGAACTAAGATAATGGTCCCACCTTGCATGGTTTGGGGGCTGAGGAAATGAGCTGATGTGACCAAAGTGTAAATTATAACACACTCTGAACTTTGCAGACATTTTTATTGTTGCAATTGCCACACGCTTACTCATCATCATGTCTTTAGAGTTCTGACTTTAGTGCAAACTCCAAAGACTTTCCCTGACATTACAGCAAACAAGTCCAAACCTGTGTGAACTGCATAGTCTCTTGTTGTGTTGTGAGGGAGGAAACTTTATCATCTGTGGAAATTTTCTCTTCAATGGACCCTCATAACATGACATGACTTTTAAAAATAGTTATTTGTGTATGTGTGTGTGTGTGTGTGTGTGTGTGTGTGTGTGTGTACATGGGTCTATGTGCACCACACATGTGCAGCAACCCACAGAGGCCATAAAAGGACATCGGATCCTCTCGTACTGGAGGTATAGGAGATTGTGACTGAAATGTGGGTGTTTGGAATAGACCCTAGCTCCTCTGTCAGAGCAGTAAGCACTTTTAATATCTGAGCCATATCTCCAGTCCTACATGACATGATTTTATCTTGTTATTCATGACAAATTGCTTAAACTGACATACATTTGAAAACCATGGAGAAGTTTTAGTAGGAACTTGTTTTTCTAGGATTATTTAATCAGCAACGATCTGTGATTCACTTCTTTCTGTTCTTCTTGCAGAAGCCAATCTGATGTACAAGGTCTCCTTTCAGGCAGTCCTGCTTACGGCATGCTTAATCGTTTCTGCATGTGCAAGGTAACTCCAGTTTTATTTGCATGCAGTAGTGTTTCACAATTAATGGAGCTGTGATTGATGGATGATTTCCTTGCCTCCTTTCACAAATCATATTAGGTAGCTCTACAGCTAAAACTTACCTGTTATGAGAGTGCCCTTTGTGTCTCACATTCCTCCCCCATCCTCCAACGGTGCATGCAAAAACCAGAATTGATTGATTAAAATTGGATTTTATCATGTGTCAGCTTCTGCTTAAAGACTCAGTGACTATCAGGTTAGACAGAGTCTACATTTCCCTTCTGGGGCATTCTAGTGCACTTGAAGTCTGGACTATTGGGAACTTCAAGTGCATTAGATGCTTATTAGATTATCAGAGTACCACGCAGGAATACACAGATGACCATGGGTGATTCTAAAGGGTGAGGTAAGGAAAGTGTTTGTAAAGCAAAACTGAATCAAGTATTTTGATACAACAGTCTTTGCAGGATGACTGATAATAATGATGATGTTAGCCTGAGGTTGAAAGACAGTTGACGGGCAGATGTCCTTGTAGAAGTATTTTGTGTGTATTGTTGTGGTAGCTTCCTGGTAACTTGAGGTCCCGGGCAGGATCTTTTGGAACAGTTGCTGTCAGGCACTCATGTGTAAGGACCCTTTCTTCATAGCCTTCTGGCTTTTTTTTGGGGGGGGGGGGGGATTCAAATGATTTGGTTTTTTTTGGGGGGGGGGGGTGATTCAAATGATTTAGTCTTGCCTCTGACAGCATTCAAGTTACTTTCACATATGAAGTGTCTGTCCCATGTGAACAGCTTAGCATCACAGGATACACAGTGCTCGGTCCCAAGTTCAGGTGTTTTAGAGCTCTACATCCTGTCCTACATGCTCTTCTCCTGCCTTCTTGACCTTTCTTTGCCCAAAAGTCTAGGAAATGATCAGGTCCTATCAGTACTAAGCCTGTTCATGCCTCAGGGCCTTTGAAAGTGTTAGTCCTTATGCTTGGTCCAAGTCTCTTTCAGTTAAACACATGGCTTTGCTCTTCTGGAATCTTTTCAAATGTAGTATCAGAAAGACCTTCCCTGGCAACTATCTGTAGAGAGCACAGCACCGTCCCTATCACACATACCTTGCTTTCTTTTTCTTCAGGGCACTTTCTACCCCTGACCAAGTATTAATTGTTCAGTTGTCTAAGTACTGATGATCTAGTTCTCACTATAAGAATGTGAGCAAACAGGACCAGTGAGATTGCTCAGCAAGTATAAGTGCTTCCCACACAAGCCTGAGTTCTTGAGTTCAATCATAAGGGCTTCCCACACAAGTCCGACTTCTTAAATTCAACCCTTAGGACTCATATTGGAAGGAGAGAACCAGATCCTGAAAGTTGTCCTCTGACCGCCACATATGCAGTGTGGCACGGCATGCACACACACAGAGACACATAAATTAATCAATTAAAATTTTGAAAAGACGGTGAGCGCTCTGAGGAAGGGATATCATGTCTTTGTCTTTCCTTTACTTCTGTATCCTCAGTGATGGATTCTTTGGTATTTTTGAATTGGTGAAACAAAAAGTGAATAGTGAAGCCCTGGGGCCTTTATAGTCCTTGGATTATTGTGGCCAAATGCTACCTAGACCCTAGTTTTGCCTCCTGGGGGTCCAGCACCTCCCCATTTCTTGGGGAGGCGCTTTTTAAAATACCAACTTCAAGATTCTCTTCCTTGAGATGTGAATTTAGGTCTAGTGAGAGCTGGTATTTTAAAACAAGCTTCCCACTTAATTATGAGGTTTGAGAAGCATTTTTAGATCACAATGGGACCAAAAGAACAAAAGGAGGAGGGCCTGTGGCTAAAAATAGATTTGGAAAGTTCGGCATTACATACCCCAAGTTGGAAAGTGATAATGAGCATTAGTGTAATAATGGCTGGATGAAATCAGGCAGAGGAATCATGGTTGCCATTATTTTAACTTAGAATGTTCCAGACTTTCAAGTTGATCAGGGACCCCAGTCTTGTAATTCACAGGATCATCAATGAACTGTTCTCTTTGGGTTAATGTATGTAGATACACTCTTCTTTGAGAAGTAGAGCTTAACTTCCTCTTCCTTTTGTGTGAACTGTGTTTAGAAATTTGCCTTCAAGGAGTAGAATAAGAAAAGGGAGAATTGGAGTCCTACAGTGAAAAGTGCTGGTCAGCACCACTTCTGATGAGCAAGGTCAACAGCCACAGAGATGGATTTGTTGATTGCATGTGCCCTTGATGTAGTCCAGTGGGATTGATACTGTACCTCTGTGGTCTTTCAAGCCCCAGTTCAGCCATGAGTTAAAAACAGAAAACTCAGATTAAAGGGCATTCAGCACATTATCTGAGCTATTTTCAAAGCTGGCAGGGTCATCAGAATCAAGCTGCCATAGCCCAATGAAACCTAAGGAGGCACAATGATTAACTAAGCATAGTGTGTTCCCTGGATGGGATCCTGGAAAGGAAAAGGGGCATTAGGGAACTCTTAAAAAATCTAAATTTAAACAATTACTATATCTGTATATACTTAAAAGATTTTTTTAGTGTGTAATTTTATTAATTTATTCTTCAATAAATTCTGGTTACACTTATCCTTTCAGGCCGTCTTACCTCTCACCCCAGAGGTTGTTGTTGTTGTTGTTTGTTTTTTACTTTATGTGCGGGTATTCTACTTCAACACAGTAGTTTGTTTGAATATTTAAATTTTCTTGCTCAAATAGTTCCCATTTTGCTATCAGAAGCTGTTTTACTTTTTCAGAAATAATAGCTGTGCCCTTTTCACATACATTTACACTTTAATTTTCACTGTGTGCTCGCGCACGTGTGTGTGTGTGTGTGTGTGTGTATGTGTGTGTGTGTGTGTGTGTGTGTGTGTGTGTGTGTTTGAGACAGGGCCTCCTGTAGTCTAGTCTTTAACTCTCTATGTAGCTCAAGCTGACCATGAACTCCTACCCTGCTTGCTTCTGTTTCCCAATTGCTAGAATTATAGGCATCTACCACCATGCCTGATCTTTCCTTTAACTTTGAAAATAATAGCAATTAAAAGCAGTATGTATAATTCCAACATATTTCACTTATAATCATGATAGTATAGCAACTACAAATAAACATATAAAGACATAGTAAATGAAAAACATACTATTGTCTGGCCAACAGTGACGGGAAGACCATCATTTGTAAATTGCCTCCTAAATTCAGAGAATGTATGTGAACCTTTAAATTGATGAAACAGGGTGTATTTGTAGAGCCAACAGTGTAATCACCCTAAATTTGTTACCCTCATGCCATAATCTGAATTCCTTGATCAGTCTATATTACTTCTTCAAGAAAATAGATTCTGAATCATCAGTTCTCATTATTTCCATCATCCTTTGTATGTCTTTAAAAAATATTTGTCAAGGGGCTGGAGATATGGCTCAGTGGTTAAGAGCACTGGCTGCTCTTACAGAGGACATGGGTTTAATACCCAGCACCCACATGGCAGTTAACAACTGTCTTAACTCCAGTTTCAGGGGAATCTGAGGCCCTCTTCTGACCTCCTCAGGCATTGTGTGACACAGGTGCACTTGCATACATGCAAACGATTCACTCATACACATTAACAATAAATAAATAAGAGCCGGGCGTGATGGCACATGCCTTTAATCCCAGCAATCAGGAGGCAGAAGCAGGCAGATCTCTGTGAGTTCAAGGCCAGTCTGGTCTACATAGTGAGTTCCAGGACAGCTGGGGCTACAGGGAAACCTTGTCTCAAAAATACCAAAAAATAAAATTAAATTAAAAATAAATAAATAAAATATTTGTCTTATTTTATATACCAAATAATTCAGACTCATTTTGTAGTTTGCCTGTCCTGGCTTTGGCCATTTCTCTGAGAATCTCTGGATCTTTCTGGGTCCCAGGTCCACTTGATCCACTTATTGCTGCTGAGATATCATTGCTTCTAAACCCCATCTGTAGACAGAATGAGGAATATGTTTGTATATACGAATACTGGCCACAAACATGGAAAATTTTGTATCTGCACACACATAGTAAACCAAATACAACTTTATATTGACATATCTAATGTTAACTCAATACCACATGATTCATTCCAGGACCCCCCTCACCATCTTGCTCCACCTTGATTCCCACTACCTTTCAGTACATTTATGCAGTCCTACTGTGCATGTGCAGAAGCTGAAAAATTAATAACTCACATCCCATCATGAAGAACAACCTTATTGACCCAACTACAGTGTTTATGTTTAATTCCTTCCATCTTTGGTCTAGAGTTCCAGTTGAAACTCTATTTTCTCAATTTATTTAGATTGGTCTCTTTCTCCCTCCAGTGAGGCTGGATAATTTGCGATACAGTTATCTTCCTTTGCCTGCATTTTATCTGGGGCTTTCTAACATCATGCCAGATTCATTTAAATTAGCACAAATTCAGGGTTTTTTCAGTGCTGTCCAGTTCTATGATATGCCACAAATACACAATATCATGTATCCATCATTATAGTACTGTGTGAATTAATTCTACCATCCTCAAAAACTCCTCTATGCTTCCCTACTCAAATAATCCTCTTTCTGAAACTGCTAGAAACCAGTTGTTTCCCATCCCTCTAGCCTTGTCTCCTTTAAAAAAGCTTTAGTTTTTTACATTAAGGGTATGAATGTTTTGCCTCTGCATATGTAAATACACTTTTTTTGTGTGATAGACACAGAGGCTAGATAACATCAGATACCCTGGAACTGGAGTTACAGACAATTGTTAGCTGCCATGTGGGTTTAGGGAACCGAATCTGTGTCTCTGCAAGAATAGTCAGTGCTCTTAACAACTGAGCCATCTCTCAGTCCTAACCTTGTCTTTATAAATTGCTACATTAGAATCATCAAAAAGTATGTAGCCCATTTGGTCTGCCTTTCTTGTAGGAAAATGCATTTATGACTCATCCGTGCTGTTACATAAATTGATAAATAATCCCTTTTATTTCATATATTTAAAAAATTTAGATCTAGCTATCACCAAACAAACATACACCCATAAGGGCAGGAAAGAAGGTAGAAATGTAAGTTTGAATATCAAATTGATTTTATTGTATGTGGAGCTGTAGGTTTTCCCATCACTTCTGTCTTCTTTCAACTCTACTCTGCCATAATGAATTATTTTTCGTAGTTTATTTTTCATATTTATGATTAATGTATGAAACCATTCACTTCTTCTACCACACATCCTTTTTATAAGAAAAGGAACCAACCCACAGCAATAATAAATGTGCCATTCTAACTTCTTGTTTTTTAACAGTGTAGATGCATGACAGCTTCTTTATACAGGCACCTATTGGAAAGTACCTTGTTTGCTTCAAACTTTTGAAAATTTAGAGACAAGTATGGTGGTGCATGCCTTTAATTCCAGCACTCAAGAGGCAGAAGCAGCTTGATCTCTGTGAGATCAAGGCCAGCCTGGTATCAAAAACAAAACAAGCAAAATTTTTACATTTTTTGTTTTTATTGAATTTTTGTGTATTTTATACAGAATATCTCAAACAATCCTAATCATCTTTTTACACCTGTCCCCATTGGCAGCTTCCCATAGGCCCTCCCACCAAAATGGAACCCATATACTCTATCATTCATATTAAAGTCCAACGCCTCAAGTCAGTGACCCCAGATGTTCCCCAGTGCAAGTCCATCCACTGAGGTGGAGTAGAACTCCATTGTGTAAAGTTTCTATAAAGAAATTCAAGCACTTTAAATAGATATAAGACTTGAACTCTGTTGGGTACACACCAACAAATAATATTTCAGGATAAGATAATAAAATTGCCTTTAATTTTGCAAGCAAGTGCCACACTGTGTTCCAAAGTGCTTGTGCTATTTTCGTTCCCCTTCAGCAATGAGGGAGTGTTCCCATGGCCCCACATCCTCTCTGTCACTTGTTAAGATCATTTGGGGGACTTAGCTGTTCTAACAAATGTACAGTGGTCTCTGTGTCTTAATTTTCATTGCTCTGCTGAAAAATGATGTTAAACATCTTTAAAATGCTTTTCTGTCCTTGGGCCTGTTAGCAACATACTCTATTCCAAAGGCCAAAAAGTCAAAATGCCAAAAGTATTTGGGAGCTTGTATCTAATCCTTAAAAGATTTTAGGGTTACCTTTTCAGGGGGGGCAATGTTGGAGGTGAGAGAGTGGGCATGGATTTGATCAAAACACCTTATATGCATGTATGAAATTCTCAATAAAGTTTTTGTAAAAGTTAAAAAATGCTTATCTGCAGATGTATATTTTATTTGAGGAGATGTAATGTGTGTTTATGTTTTTCAATAATCTAAATGGGCTATTTGTTTGCTTTTTTGTTTTATTTTTTATTAATTTATTTTTTAAGTCAGCACACAAAGAGGTTTAATTAAGGCATCACCATATCTATCTATCTATCATTTATCCATCTATCATCTATCTGTCTATCTATCTATATCTATCTATCTATCATCTATCATCTATCATCTATCATCTGTCTATCTATCTATTATCTATCTATCATCTATCCATCTATCATCTATCTATCCATCTATCATCTATCCATCTATCATCTATCTATCTATCTATCTATCTATCTATCTATCTACCTACCTACCTACCTACCTACTATCTATACACAGATAGTAGTCTTTGTTCTTACTATTCATCCCCCTTATTGTTGCATTTGATTGTTCTGGAGTCCTTTATTAGATTTGTCATCTTCAGGTATTTTCTCCTGACTGCATTGTCTTTTTCATTCTCTTAACAGTGTCTTTCCCAGAGAGAAGTCTTTTTAATCTTCATAAAGTCGAATTAATCATTTTTTTCTTTCATGGGCTCTGAACATCGTGTTGTATCTAATAATTCATTGCCAAACACAAGGATATTAATTTTTTTCATCTATGATTTCTTCTGAAAGTTTTATACTTTATGGTTTATAATTTAGTCTATGACTCATTTTAACTTTAATTGCATAAAATAATATAAATGTGAATGTTCTTTTGTTTTTTCCTTGCAAATGTCCAATCATTTCAAGACCATAGTTGAAAGGACTGTCTTTTCCGCTGAGTAGTTTTTACATCACTGTGAGAAAGCAGTTTATGGGTCTGAAGAGATGTTTAGCAGTTAAGAGCAAGTGCTGTCTCTCAAATGACTCAAGTTTAGTTCCCAGCACCCATATCAGATGGTTCACAACTACCTGTAACTACAGTTCCAGGGGGAATCTGATGCTTCTGGCCTCTGTGGGTGCCTGCACTCACATGCATATACCCCCACATAGACATACACACATGCACATAATTAAAAATGAAATTAGTCTTTAAAAAAGAAATTAGTTTCTTATATTGATATATTTTTATTCTGGGTCCTCTGGTCTCTCTTTTGACCTGTCTACTCTTTTGCTAGCACTACATTATTCATATTACTGTAGTTATATAGTAAATCTTGAAACCATTGTCAATATCAGTCTAAAACAGCACTATATGTGTTGAAAATTCAGGATTAATATGCTAAATCTACTCCATCCTGTTGTTTCAGATGGCTTATGGGAGGAGAATTAGTCAGTGTCTTCACATGGCCATTGATGGTAACTATAGTTTGTAAGTAATTTTACCCCAGATTGTTGCTTTAATTCTTAGGCTTCACTTGAATTCTGGTCATTTATATTAGTGTGTATTTCTCTTTTCCATACAAGATATTGTGAAATCACTGTTTCTCAACCTTGCCAGTTATTTCAAAGCCACCGCTTGTGCTGGGTAAGTGCTACCTCTGGTATTATTGCCTGATCCAAAGAAGGGTTTTGACTGAGATTAGATGGTGAGGACCACTTACAAGAACTGCCTATTGGTCCTGATGAACACTTTCTGTTACTGCTAAAACCTAGTAGTAGTAGTTACTGTTGTATCCTGCTTTTCAATTTCTTCTTAAGACAAATAGAACTATAGTTTAAGGTCTCAAGAATTTAGAAATAATATAAAAACAGGTGTCCTGCTTTTCAGTTGTTTTAAAAGTGATTTATAGCATTGCACTTTCTAAATATCTCATATTAAGATGTCTTTGTTGTGCATCTTCTCAAATGCCTGGCAAAATGCCTGCAAAATGATCTGTTACAATCTGAATTTCTCTTCCCTATCTTACTTTCCTAATGAGGGTTTCAGAGGGTTCCCAGGGTCTGGGAGATAGATGCTCACAGAATTTCAAACAGGCCACTGAGTGCCATCGCATTGCAAGACAGACTGTTAATGACCTTCACTTTGTTGTGACTTTAGAGATCAGCTCCTGTGGCTTGGAGATCAAAGTCTACAAGTCAAATTAGTTTATTGGCCTTTGTACTTGACTCTGCGCCACTGTTTATGAAATCTTGGTCTTGGTTCTGAAATTACAATGGGGTGAGTGGAGGTTTATTTTGTTTACGACGCTAGTTTGACTGAAGCTTTCCATAATTTCTAGTCCATCAGGTTTCTAGAGACAGTCACTGATACAGCTAAGTTTTATTGAATCTAATAGATAATTGGGTGCTGGGTTGTCACCCCAAATCCCTGTTCTTTAACCATTTTAAGGACATTTGTTTAAAACTCTTCTAAGAGACCTATTTATCTCCTTTTAGCTACGATCTCAGTCATAAATGAGGAGGCTGAAATGGCTTGCCTTGTCTAGTATTACCTACAGTTTTGCAGGGAGGTTCAGTTTTTTTTTTTTATTTTATTTTTGACAGTTTCATACATGTATACATCAAATTTTAGTCACGTTCATCCCATTTCACCCAGTTTCAGGCTCCTTGTTCTCCTGCTGAAACCGTTCTTCTTCCCAAGTCCCCATCTTACTTTTAAGTCGTTTTCTGTGAGCTTCACTGAGTTTAAAAGGGTTGCCTGAGCGAGCATTGGTGGGAGGTTATTTAATGGACCATGAACAACTGATCAGTGGCCACAGCATTGAAGGAAATGGCAGCCTTTCCCCTAACCATTCATTGTCAAAAGTGCTTGAGGGAAGTGTGGGCCTAGTGAGGTCTTCCCCCTTCCATGATGAAATGTTGATGGGCCCAGTCTGGAACAGATCTTCTTCAGACAACCACAACTACAGTGAACCCATGAGTGCATCCATTGGGATATGTCATGTCTGCAAGGTGAGGTTTCACAGCATGCCTCCTTTCCTCTGGCTCTCACATTCTTTCCACACTGTCTCTCTCATGTTCCCCAGATGCTAAAGTCTGGATGCCAGGATGACCACCAGCCAGAGCTAGGCTAATAGAACTGACTAATCAAAAGATTTTAGTGTTTTCAAGCATGCTCATGACCCTAGATTTGATCATTAATTTCACCAAAATAAAGACAAGCAAGGGGCTGACTTAGAATGTAGCTCAGTTCTATAGAGTTTGCTTAGAATGCACAAGGTTTGGATTTGATCTCCAGTACCACAATAAATAAATAAAAAATAATAAATGAACGAATAAATAAATAAGTAAATAAATTTTCAGCAAAAGAGCTCTTTTAAAACCCAAACTTCAGAACTGAAATTATTGTTGTGGTTTGTCAGTGAGAATAATATAAATCCTTTCTCTCTGTTTCTTAATTAAATGTAAAATTAATTGGAAAGACAAATGGCTATATTGTATGGAAGTTCTATGGTGAGGGTAAGTTTCTCAAAGTGGGGACTGGGGCTTCTGTGCTCTAAAGTCATGGAGGAAACTTGTGGAAAGGGCTGTTTCCTATCCCTGATGCTAGGGATTCTGGGTCCAAATTCCTGAGGGGTCTTCAGTTTAAACAACTTTCTGGATGATTCTTTGCACAATCTCTTGGAAAAAATGATTTCTGTAACCGTCACTTTTCTATTTGTGGTATCACTTAACCTGTCAAATCTTTACTGGGAACCAGCTCTATACAGAATGGGGTGCCCAGTTCAGCTTAACAGACAAGAAAGAAGTATCTACCAAGTAGCCAAGGTCAAAACACCAAGGCACATGTCAAGTCTCAATATTTTGGAGTCTAGTGAGAGTCACATGCATGCAATGGGCAAGGTGACAATCTTGCATAAAAGCCCCTCAGACAAGGGGAGGTGTGGAGTGTAGGCAGGCAGACCTTCCGGGAAGAGACACTATCTAATCTGGCCTGTCACAGGTACTAGTCCCAGTTGCTTTTTTGGCCCTTCTCACTACTCTGGACTCCTAATTTGTTCTGTACTTAAAGCAATTACATCAGGATTGCATTTCTATCATGCACATTCTCATCTACAGCCTCATTTGTGGGATAAGATCTCGTCTTTGATGATTTACATGGTACTTCAACTCCTTCTTCTCTATTGCCACCCCATCTTTTCCCATTTCCTGCTCACCAGTTTCATGTACACACACTCTTGTATTTAAGACCCGTGAAAACAAGGACTCTGGGTTTCATTTTTGTATCCGCCCAGTGCTTCAAAATAGTGGGTACTCTTTACATATTCGTCAACTCAGAGATATTTGTTGTATCATTTCTTGAAGTATATTTTTGTAGCCAAGAGCCCTGTGCCTGTATATTAAAGATATTAAAACTCTTTCCCTTTCCCTTTTCTATAAACAGAATCCAGAAGCTGTTAAGCCAAATACATAGTTATTCATACAGAGTCAAGAATGACTCATAAGTCTCTTCTAACAGTCAGTGATGAGAGTCTAAGAAAACAGAGGGCAAACACTGAGTTCAGTTCACCAGACACCTGCATGGCCGCCCTCCCACACCCATTTTGCATTATGCAGGGATAGATAAGATTAGGTGCTTCTTCCTTAACATTTGATTCCTCTTGAGTCATATGACTTTTCATGCTACAATGTAATTTCTTTTCACCTGCCTTAACCTCTGATTTAAAGTCTGCAGTTGTGGGCTGTTCTACTTACCAATACTTGAGTAGCCCTTGTTAAGGAAACTCATCACAACTATCTGATAATGTACTAGCATCTCTGTGCATGCTCTACACATCTATGACCTCATAGCAGCATAGCAGGAAAACACACTGCTCTAGTTTAATTTCTGTTGGGTTATGTAGCAATCCCAGATTAGAGTCTACCACTGAGGGTTAATTAAGGCAAAAACTGAAGCAGCTAGTCACTTCACAGCCATGGTCAAGAGCAAAGAGAATAAGCTCATCCTTCATTGCTTGCTTTCTCCTTTCAGCTAGCCTCCTTTGTTCTTACACAGGGCGGAATGGTGCTGTCCTAATGGGCTTCCCGCCTCAATTTACAGTCAAGACAATCCCACATAGACATGCTCACATGCCAATCTGATCTAGAGAATTCCCCAAGTAAGGCTCTCTTCCCAGGTGATTCTAGGTTGTACTAACAGTTCAAAACCAACCAACACACATTTGTTTTCCCTCTACTGTTAGGTTCAAACACATGATGAGTGAACAAATAAACTTTAGAGAATTAGGACAGGGCCAAAACATGCATGTTACCTTCTAGGCTATATTCCAGGGGTGATGCACATGAAAAAAGAATATGAAATGGTAATTATCTAATTTCCAAGGTGAGCTTAGGGGTTAAAACCTGCTTGGTTTCAGCGGAAAGGGCACTGAAAATCACTAGAGGGAAAACCAATGTAGAGTGAACTTAAGTTGTGTCTCCACTTTTCAAAGCTGGGATGGTTCAAGCTATTTGTGAATGATTAGACACTGCATTCTCTCTCTCTCTCTCTCTCTCTCTCTCTCTCTCTCTGTGTATGAGTTATTCATTTCTTTTCTCCTTTTTCTAATCTAGGTTTGACAGCTCTTGAGGAATGCCTCTGATGAATATCTTTAATCTGAATATCTGAAAACTGTCTGATTTTCACTCTACTTGAAATCAACTGCTTTATTGGAAGGGAATGAACAAATGGATAATCGAGAAAAAAAGTTAATTTGACAATGTAATAATAATAAAGAAAACTTCAACTTCAACTTGTACTGATAATAGGCTCCTGAAAATAATATTAATTTGCCTTTCCTTTGCAACCACTGCCAGTTGAAAGTGAAGAGACAGGGGAAAATGACAGCAGACAGACCACCTGGAGGTACAACCCCAAGGTTGTGGTCCTTGAGACATTCATTTTCGTTAGATAATTCTGTGAGATTTTTTAACCATGTAGGCTTCTGTCTGCCAGCATGCAGCTATGCCTTGCTTGCTGACCTGACGTAATTTAACAAAGAAAACAAGCTTGTATAATTAACACAGCTTTCACAGAAAATAGCACAGTTTATACATGCAAATATAACTTTGCTAAAGTTTATCCTTCTCTCAAAAGTGCATGGATATTAGTTGGTGACAGTAGGTTCTATGGTTTTTCTCCAAAAGCCCATGTTGAAGCCTTGGTTCTCGGTGTGGCAATGTTAAGTGGTGGTAGGAACTTTAACAAACGGGGCCTGGGGAATATCTCAAGTACCCTTGTAAGTTCCCTGGTCTGTCTCTCTGGATTTCTGTCCAGTCATGTGATATTTTTCCTCCAAAGTTCCTTATGTGATGTGAAGCCATTCATCATGAAACTCTTACTAGGGTGAAGCAGATTCTGGCAACAAGCTTTTGAACCTCTAGAGCTGTGAGTCAAATGAATATTTAGTAAGTATTCAGCCTTAGGTATTTCATTATGGCAATGAGAAAAAGACCAAGAAAGTAGCTCATCATTAATGGAAAGTGAGGAGGAGAGAATCATTTTCTTCGCTGTTTTAAAATTTCCTTGAGTATCATGATTATCTTTACCTCAAATTGCAGTTAAAATATGATATATGAAAAACTCTTAAAGGCAAAATAGAAATATTAGAGTGTTTTGAAACACATGAAAATGGTCCTGCTGTATAACTGGCTGGAGTTATAGAAGATACTGTTTTTTTATAGCTCTCATTGGGAAATTGCACACAGAGCAGATATGATCTGCAGAGGGTGTTCTAGATCATATCATCTGATGGAAAATCCCTGTGCATATAAAATTATATTCACTTAAAGTGGTAATACCATATTAACACTATTTGTATCTGTGATGATATGTGTTAATCTTCACTGTCAACATAACTGGATTTAGAATCACTCATGAGACACATCTCTGGGTATGTCTGTGTGGTTGTTTAGCTGAAGAGAGAAGACCTACCCTAAATATGGGTGGTACTATCCCATGGGTTGCTGTCCTGGACTAAATAATAAGGAAGAAAGGAGGAAGAGAGCTGAGCATCAGCATGATCTCTCTCCACCTCTTGACTGTGGACACAATGTAACCAGTTACCTCTGGTTCCAGCTGACATGAATTCTTATCCTGATGCACTTATCCCATTATACTTCAAGCCCAAATAAACCTTTTTTCCTTAAGTAACCTTCGTCAGGTGTTTTGTCATATCACATCAATGAGAAAAGTAACTAATGCAATATCCTTTGCACTCAGTACATTTTCGATTGAATGAAATTATACTAATGAGTAAGTGGAGTCACCAGAAAATTACATAAAATATGTATTATATGAATTTTATATTTACTTATGTCCATATGCCTTTTCACTCCTCTGTTGACCTTGAGTGTTAGTATCCTTTGCTCATCTGTGTTTATTGGGTTATTTGTGGTTTAGGTTTTTTTTTATTTGGTTGGGTTTATATTTAGTTTTGGAGACAGGGTCTTATTCTAGAGCCCAAAGCTAGCTATGCCACTATGTGAATTATGTAACTCAAGCTGGCTTTGGAACTCATGGCAATCCTCCTGTCTCAGTCTCATGAGCGCTGGGATTACGAACATTAGCCACCATGGCTGACTTTATGTTTCTACTTTAAATTGCATGAATTTCCTAAATATTTTATGAATATTTTAGAAATATTGTTGATTGCTTTTTCTTTTGCTGTGCATGTTTTTAATTTAGTATACTCCCACACGTTTACTGTTGTTCTTGTTGCCTGAGAATTCAGTGTCGTAGTGGAAAAAAAATCATTTCCAAAGCCATTCAACAAGCCCCCTGCTTCCCCTAGCTGCCATGAGGTAAGCAGCAGTTTTACCATTCTCTCTCTATATGATGTTTACCTTCCACAGACCTACAGCAATGTGATCAAGTGGCTGTCAAAACCCTTGAATCCCTTGAAACCATAGCAAGAAAGAGGACTTTTTTCTGTATTTATTTATGCCACAGGGTAAAAGACACAGGTCTGATTTCATTCTTCTGCATCTGAATACCCCATTATCACAGTATCATTTCTTGAAGGGATTATTCTGTCCCCAAGGGGCTTCAAAAGTAGCTATTGATTAAGTTTTAGGATAATATGACCTTTTGCTCCAAGGTGTCCAAAGTTTTCATAGCCTCTCTTCTTCCAGCATCACCAAAGACATAAAATATCTACGCATGCATTTTCCAGGGACTCTAAATGTGTGTTAGAGGTATCTTATGCTAAGATTCCATGTTACACCCGATCTCCTCTTCACAGTCCAGTTTGAAGGGCTTAGAGTATGAGCCTCTGTTGATTTTTGCAACTATCTCAAGTTCATTTTGTCAATTCTTAGTGGAGAAGAGCCACAAGATAAATTCTTTTGGGAGGTTACCACAAGACATTCATAATTGATAAATAGACTAGGAAAGCATCTGCTGGTCAACAAGATTGTCTGGGCTTCAGAAAGCTGGTGTTTTGGGCCCACAAAACTAAAGGCAGTCAAGAAAAAAGATATGACTCCTTTCAGACATGGAGCATGGCAGGCAGTATGCACTGCGATTTTCAGCCAGCTCAGCACTGACTCATGCCCCGCCTCCAACCCTGTATCACCGCCTCCAACCCTATATCACTGCCTCCAACCCTGTATTACCGACTCAGTCTCCGTCTCAGGTTCCTAACACAGAGCTCTTAAAGCCTTGGTAATTTCCTGGACGACAAGAATAATAGGAGCATCATACACAGAGCTGCTGAGCCACTGGAATTTTCCAGATGGCAAAAGTGCCTTCCAGGCTAATGAAGATACTCTTGGTGAACTCCTGGACATCTTCAGAATGGGGGATGGCCACTAAAAGGAGCAGGACATCATTACACACTAGGAACTTTAAGCCCTTGCCCCTCCATCCACTGGGGGAGAAAGCAAGATGGAGACTGAGCTAACAGCTGATCATGCCTATGTGAAAGATCCTCCACAGAAGTCTTTCAAGTATGAGGTTTGAGGCTCTTCTGGGCCTGTGGTCTTGTCCACATCCTGGGAGGGTGGTGGGTGTACCCTAACACCACAGGAACAGAATCCAGCCAGCTCCTCCGAGAGTTTGCCCTGGGCATCTCTTCATCTGGATATGTGTGATAACCACATGACTTCTTTTATTGAAAATTACTAAGTGTAAGTAAAGGGTTTCCCTGAATTCTGTTATCAGTTACTCAAAAATTTATCCTAAGCAGGGAGTCATGGTAGTCCCAAAGTGTAACCAAGTCAGATAGAAACCTGGTTACCCATAAGGGAGTTCACTCTGTGTCCTAGTTTGTTTCTTCATTGCTGTGACAAAACACCCTGACCACTACCAACTTGGGGAGGAAAGGGTTTATCCAGCTTACATCTCCCAGGTCGTAGTTCATCAGGGAGCCCAAGGTAGGAGGAACTCAGGGCAGGAACCTGGAAGCAGGAGCTGGAGCACAGGCCACAGAGGAATGCTGCTTACTGGCTTGCTCCCCTAGCCCCTGCTCAGCTTGCTTTCTTATGCAACACAGGCTACCTGCCCAGGGGTGGCACCACCCACAGTGGGGTGGGCCCTCCCACATCAGTCATCAAGAAGATGCCCCTCAGACATGGCCACAGGTCAGTCCAATAGAGGAAATTCCCCAACTGAGGCTCCCTCAACTCAGGTGTGTCAAGTTAACACTAAAACTATCCAGCACACTCTGTGATTGTCATTTGAGGAAGAGGACTGCATTGTTAAATTAAGCTCTTAGCCTGAGACCTGAGGGATCTGGGCCAACTCTAGATGGTTTATGTCAGAATGAAATTAAATTCTAAAACCCCTTGCTGGTCTCCTTGGAGAATCAGAAAATTGCTTGGTATATAATTTCTACACATTTACTATCAGAAGCTTAGCAAGAAGAGAAGTACAGTTTTCTTTAATAATTAAGACTCATACAAAACTTCATGAAGAGACATAATCTTGAAGCAAAAATCGCATGGATTTTGGAGACCCAGAGCTGGCACTGAAACATGCTCCCCCATTTGTTTGGTAATACTCATTTCTTAATATATTTGTGCTTCAATTGCTTTCTTTTTAAGATAGAGAAGAAAATTCATACTTGGATAAGTGGTACTAAGAACTATTCCCTCTTTTTTTGAGAGGAATGGCTTTAATAATCCTGTCTCCAGTAGCACAAACAACACCTTAAAACAGCAAACTTATTCTTCACAGACGTTTTGGGTCAACAGCCTTGGGACAGCTTTCCTGGCCTTCTGCAAGGGTGCAGCTAATGTGTCAGTCTTGCTGAGTCTCGGTGTCTCAAGAACCAGGGAAAGGCCTACTCCTAAGCCTTTGTGGTTGCTAGAACCCAATTACTTCTGGCCTATGGCCAGGACCTTCCCCACCTGACCCTTTGGATGAAAACCTAGCCCTGGAAAGGCTTTGTTAGCAGCGTTGCAGAGGACTCAACATATGCTGTGATCCTGACTCACAGAAGCTGTAAGATAATACACAAGTGTGTGTTCTCTAAACAGTTGGTTTGTGTTAAGATACTAAATGGAATACATCATACATATACCTATGAATGCTCCCCCAACTCACATTATAAAGTGTGTTATTATGAAAAAAAATGGCGTTAGCACATGCTGCCTGTATGTCAGGGTTTTCTAGAAGAACAAAACTGAGAATATATATCATAACAGGAAACATAAGATTGGCATACTAGAGAGGCTGAGAACTCAGTAGCTTCTCAGTCCACAGGCTGGGTGTTTGGTAAGCCCCAGTGTGGTGCTAAGAGCCTGAAGGATTCCTGGAGAGCCACTGGTATTCACCCAAAGATTCTGGAGTCTCATGTTAGCAAAGGCTCGTGGCAGCAGCCACAAAAACAGGATAGATTCACTCAGGAGCAAGACATGGAAGCACTGTCTTTTCTCTGGACCTGACCTCTTTATATCTGGGCCACTCCTTCCAGGGGTGGCCCCCTCTGAGGAAGGGTTTCTCTCTCAGTTAATCCTTCCTGGAACTGTCCTTACAGACCTGCCCAGAGGCATGCCTCTTGGTCAACTCCGGATCTAATCAGGTTGACAGTCAAGAGTAGCCAGCACAGTCCCTCAAGGAGGCTGTGGCAGCATCGGAGTCCATCACTTACAGATGCTGTATAAGTTTCTTTTCTGTTGCTGTGATAAAATTCCGGGTAAATACTAACTTCTGTATAAAACCAGAGGGAATTGTACTAGTCCAGAACCCTGCTGAAAAATTACACATACAAGATCTCTACATGTGTCCATGTGTATAGCTGAAGGCTACATAATAAGAAACAGTGCCAGACAGGAGAAGCCTCCCTTTGAGTTGTTGTTGGCCAGGGTAGTCTAAGCTATTATTTAAAAGAATTATTGTTAAAACACTACAAATATGGAAAAATAAGCTAAAACAAATATTTAACTGTAAATTCTTACATGGCCAATGCCTTCTAAAAACACGGAAAGAGACAAAACCTTGCTGGCTGTACTTTCCTGCCGCCTGTTCCCACACCCCTAGCAGTTTCCAATTTTTATAATTCCTCTAGCATCTTGATTGTGGTTTTACTGCCAGTATACAATCTAAATACTATCCTGTAGCAGTGCTTTGCTTGCTTGCTTAGTGCATCCCTGTTGTCTCTAGTGCACACACGTACACAGTCTCAACTTCTATCCTGTGAAACCTTGGAAGCTTGCTCATGGGGGAAGCAGACCATCTGTCTGGCACAGGATCCTCCAGCATCGTTTCACCGGCTGCATTCCTGAGGTAAGGTTTCACGTTTCCCTCAGTCTTCTGCATCTCCTGGAGAGCTGATTGTGGAGCTTAATTTGTTTCCAGTTCTGAGGTTTGGGGGTGACAGCTACTTCGAGGGTGGTTCTGTGTTTTTCACTGAGAGGAGAACAGCATAACTTTGTAATATCAGCAGCCATTTCTGCTCAATGTCAAGACCCCAAAGGAAAGGACCATATTCCAGTTCAGTCAGGCTTTCTTCATTTGTTTATTAGGATGTTCTATGCAATGCCTACTCTGATCACCCGTAATACAATATGGTTCTATTTTTATCAGAAAGGAGGAATGAATACTTAATTCTCTTTAGTGATTTTCAAAACAAAAGATACTTAGCATCTTTCAAAAGTGGCTAGGATGCTATTCATAATCATTTTATATGTGTGTAAGAATTTGTGTA